AACATGTGTGTCACATCACAGTGGAATCAGGCGCTCGTCAATCTTTGGGCATGTGAAGTTACTGGTATCATCTGAAAGCTGACTTACTTGCCTTGCCTCAGGTGAAAGAAAAAAAAACAACATCTATTGTATCTTGAACAGAACTCAGAATATCTCTACATTTGAAGGAAGTGAGGTAGCCTGGTTTCAGTGGTGAAATTAGCGAGAAAATATCCGCCAAAATTTGGTAACTCCAATAGCTAAAGAGTCTTTGAAATCTGAAAAAAGGACAAATTTAGTGCCTTTAATCACTGTTTTTCAGTCAACTTCACATGGAAATGTGTTTTTACATGAACATAAAATAGGTTGCGGCAAAAAATACAAACGTCCAAACTGGTGGAAAAATGTCTGTTTCTCCAATGTCCGTATTTAGACCAGTGCCTGATTCCACTACGCTGCCTCACATATGCATATAATCATAAACATAGAGTTTAGCAGGCACACAGCTAAATTGAGGGTACACGGACATCTTTTCAATATGTACAAATTCTGCTACATGCGTGTTTTAATTTATACAAAGAATAAACAAAAACTCTGGGGCCTGAAAGTCTGTTCCCTTTCATGTACGTGTTTGGTGTTCATTGTTCAGTAGGGTACGAGTTTTGCAGCACTCACAACTGCACAAGGCCATAAGAGAGCCCTTGGCTACTTGACTTGCCTGCTAAACTGTAAAAAGGGTACAGTAGATCCTGTGTCCGACCCGGACATTGGGGATTGCCTCGTTAGTGAGACAACTTCCTGGGCCTTCGGCATATTGTGGTAGGGTGGCCATTTCCTTTCCACGCCGCCTTTACTTCCCCAACTCGAAGTCAGGTACCCATTACTGCTGGGTGGGCAGGAGGGGGCGAAACAAATCTGTGTCTGAACCGAGGCTCGAACCCGGACTTGCCGCTTCGAAGACGAGCGCACTAACCGCTCCGCCACCGCACCCTCATAAACTAAAAATTATTTTTAAAAATAGAAACAAACCCAGTCTAACTCCAAACCTTCGCTACTTGCCTGCCAGAACTAGAATGGATTATATCATAACAACAACAAAAAAACTTTACAAAAAAACAAAAACAAAAAACCCCCACCATGATAACCCCAAACTACGGCTGCTCCCCGTGGGTGACCTCCTTGACCATAGCCTGGATCCTCATCAGGTCTCGCTTGGACGGTATGACATCATCAGGCGAGGCGTGCTGAGCGACAGTGGCGCGACGTCTGCTCTCCGCCACGATGGTGTTGAGTCTGTCTAGCGCCATCTTGGCTGTCTCTGCCTGGATCTCGTGGGACATACGGCGCGCCCGGTGCAACATGTGCTGGGAGTGGCTCAGGGGCGTGCCGGAGACAGGGGACTGATCACCCTCTCCCTCCTCCTCATCGTCATTGTAGTTGTCCTCATTCTCTTCCTTTCCATCACTCCCCCCTCCTCCTCGTTCCTCGCCGCTCCCCCTCCGCCCCACCCCCGACACATGGTGGTCCACGGAGTCTCGTGGGGAGCGGGCCGCTGGCGTGAAGGAGGCGTGTCTACGCGGGGAGCGGGCGGGGGAGAGCGGGGAGGTGGGCGACGAGTCCTCGCTGTGTGGGGGGACTTTGAGGTGTTGTTGTTGTTGTTGTTGCTGATGGTGTAGGTGGAGACTCCCCGCCGGCATACTCAAGCGGCGCTGCGGCGGCGTGGCTTTGTCGGCAACGTTCCCCGGAGACCTCGGAGCCAGACCCAGCGTCTGCTGTCTGTGCTGCAGCTTCTCCAGCCGACCTACTAGGCTGGCCTGCTGGCGGCGGTAGTCGGCCGAGGCCATCCTCTCAGTGCGCTCGATGAGCTTCCTCTCCTGCTGGCTCTGGGTCAGGATCTGATGGTCCGAGGACACAAAGCTGCTGCGTCGCTGGTTGCCCTTGACCATCTGGTAGCGGATGTCGTCCTCCACCGTGTGTACCGGACCCTCCTCCTCCAGCCCACTCGCCTGCTCCGGCTGCTTCCCAGGGGGAGAAGTCTCCATGCTCCGACTCCTGCGGGGTACAGATTAGGGTTTTTTTTAACGGTAATTTTAATTTTAGTGGGAGTGTTACGGCACTTACAACACAAATAGGTCGTACAAGTGCTGAGGATTGGAAGTGCCACTAGAGAGTAAGATACACAGAAGTGGACGGGGAGAAATAGTTTTAGTCTTAGTGAGAGTCACCACAATAAGGTCATATAAGTGCCGAAGATTAGAAGTGTTATAAGAGAGTAAGAAACATTAAAAAGGAAGAGAGATAAAGACGATAGTTGTTTGATAGTAAAGAAAGAGCAAACCCTACGAGAGCACCCGCCAACCACCCACTATATTGTGGCTGGGAAAGTGTACCTGTGCAGGGAGAGATCAGAATCTGACCAGACTGTACTCAAACAACAGACTTCAAGGACACAACGTCAGACAAGGCTCAGCTTCGAACCCTGAACCATGACGTAGCCCACAACCTCACAATTATGAAACCGGTACATGTACCCTAACCACTAGACCACCAACACCACAACCTCACAATTATGAAACCGGTACATGTACCCTAACCACTAGACCACCAACACCACAACCTCACAATTATGAAACCGGTACATGTACCCTAACCACTAGACCACCAACACCACAACTTCCCAATTACCAGACCGGTAACCTAACCACTAGACTAACGAAACCGCCCAGACTTCGTTCAAAGTCAAAACTATTTAAAACCAAACTATTTAAAAAACCAAATTAATTTTTAAAAACTACTTTAAAAAATACAATTATTTTAAAAAACAAACTACATTAAAAACCTACTATTAAAAAAAAACTATTGAAAAAAATCAAACTAAAAAAAAAAATCAAACTATCAAAAAAACCCAACCTCCATGTAGCCTACACACAGACCTAAGTGTAACTCTGACACCCCCACAAACTACTGACGTTATGGGACAAAATGGGAAGGCCTTGAACTGGACACAAACCACGTTATGGGACAAAATTGGAAGGCCTTGAACTGGACACAAAACCACATGATGTGGGCAACCTTTAATGATACCCGGGTGTGAAACAAAAATAGGGGGATTATTGGATTATCCTAACGAACGGATTAGCGGAAGATCGGAAAGTCGGCGGGAATCCCTGGGTGAGCCGAGGGTGTGACGTAACAAGCCGGTCAATCCCAGGTCCCTGGGGGCACAAGGCCGTGTGGATTATCACAGGAGAGGACCAGGAGAGCTGACAGGAGTCAAAGTGGCCACGCGTGATATAGTGCTTGGTGTGTGAGAGGGGGGAGG